AATCGTATTGATAAAACCCAGTAGTGACTGTATAGCCACACAAACCTTTGAATCGTATTGATAAAACCCAGTAGTGACTGTATAGCCACACAAACCTTTGAATCGTATTGATAAAACCCAGTAGTGACTGTATAGCCACACAAACCTTTGAATCGTATTGATAAAACCCAGTAGTGACTGAATTTTTAAATAATAAAAATACAGTCACCTTATTTTATCAATATAGCTTACCAAAGGTACTATTTATTATTTTTATTGTTAGAGTATTTTTATGATAACGTCTGTGGAAATAACTCATTGAATATTGTGCATACTAGGTTGTAAAGTTTTATAATCTGAAAGGAAGATTAAGCTATAAATAATATGATTACAAGGATTATTTGCTTCATCAGATTCAAGCCATAAAATTTCTTTAGGATCGTCTATTAAAAAAGGCTTTGAAAAAGGTCTCAGTACAGAAAAGTTAGTATAATAATATCAACAATACGTTCTACACTAAAACTTTATAATGAGAGTCCACTAATGGGTCAGAATTGAGTTTATAGACTTACAACGTGGGGTTACATTCCCCTGGTGGGTAGAGTGCCCATAGTTTATTGTGTTGCTTTGCGCTAAAACAAATAAACTATCTTGATATTTTTTTTATATATTCTAAAAATATAAAGAAATTTACACATTCGAGGATTGTGTTGTAAAATCATAATTGTTTTAGGTGGTATCTTACCTTTTTTAGCCTGTCTTCAAATTCACCGAATGTTAGTCTTTGTAATTTTCCTTCATCCAAGTAGTACTGAATAAACTCGTGACTGAAACCAAATTCAACAATTCATACCAATTCTTCAATATGAACCCTTGTAGCTAAAAATATCCTCCCTAAATCAGACATTTTGTATTATGATTTATTTAATTCAGAAAATATCACATTAATGAGTGTTTCAGCGTAAGACTAATAGTTAAACTGACCATGTCATTGTTTGTGACAAGGTAAAACCAATAGTTAAACTGACCATGGCATTGTTTGTGACAAGGTAAAACCAATAGTTGAACTGGACATTACATTGTTTGTAACAACGTGAAAAACAGTAGTTAAACTGACCATGACATTGTTTGAGACAACTTTAAAAAACAGTAGTTAAACTAGCATCAAGCTGATTGTAACAACGTGAAAAACAGTAGTTGAACTAGCATCACGCTGTTTGTAACTGGACATTACATTGTTTGTAACAACATAAAAACAGTAGTTAAACTAGCATCACACTGTTTGTAACAACGTGAAACAATAGTTGAACTTTACATTACATTGTTTGTAACAACATGAAAAACAGTAGTTAAACCAGCATCACACTGTTTGTAACAACGTGAAAACAATAGTTGAACTGGACATTACATTGTTGTAACAACATAAAAACAATAGTTAAACTAGCATCACACTGTTTGTAACAACGTGAAAACAATAGTTGAACTGGACATTACATTGTTGTAACAACATAAAAACAATAGTTAAACTAGCATCACATTGTTTGTAACAACGTGAAAACAGTAGTTGAACTAACATCACACTTTTTGTAACAACGTGACAACAATATTTAAACAGACAATTAGTACTTTTTGATCATTTATTAAAAAAGGTCTCGAAAAGATTTCAGTATAGAATAGAAAAAACATATAGAATAATATCAACAGTACGTTGCGCCCTAAAACATATAGAATAATATCAACAGTACGTTCTACACTAAAACATATAGAATAATATCAACAGTACGTTCTACACTAAAACATATAGAATAATATCAACAGTACGTTCTACACATAAACTTTATATTGAGCTGTAATCTGGTACAGTCTACAATATAGGGTTACGAGTACGAGAGTAATCATGATTGGCTAGAAACCTTAAAATTGAAGAAATCTCCACATCCACAAATATGAAAACATAAATAGTTGTCCAACCTTCTAGATGGTCTCTAGAACATCATTTTGTTGATTCGAATAAAATTTAAAATGTTTTTCACAATATTACAAATTCTGGCATAATTCCTTAAGTCTTTAAAAACTAAAATTAATGATAATATAATAAATGTTTAATTTCAATTTACTTTATTAAGCAAACAATAATGATTTTGGAACTGTTTCCAAATTTAAAAACAAACTGTATTATGAAATTAATGTGAGCGATTTTTACAATCAAGTTTAGATATTAAGAATTAGTAAATAAATGTCCGAGGATATTGTTTTAAAAGTATTATTAATATCATAATTGTATTACCTTCCATATTGAATTTTATAAATCATTATCTTTAATCATCACTTCAAAGTTTTGTTGTATATTGAGAACAGTTCTCTCCCCAGAGTTGAAACATTTTAACTTACAGTGCGATGTTTTTGAAAATATCAAAAACGTCGTCCTTCGGATCTCCAACAAACTCCCCCTGGGATAACTTGGTATTACCAGATACATCACCACATATCTTGTTGGAAGGAACAATAATTTTACGGTTCCAGTAAATTGATAAAGATATACTCCGAGCATCTTTCGAGAGAGATGTAATCTGGTAGAGCCTAAAATATAGGGTTACGAGTTAATTATGATTGACTAAAAGCCTGAAAATCGAAGCAGATCTCCAACCCACAAATATGAATACATAAAAAAGTTGTCAAACAGTGGATAATTATTGTATTAATAATATCATTTAATTATAGTCCATATATATAAAACACATTCCTATGAACGTCGTTTCTGACTAACCATACATCACTTGCGGGGATGCTGTGTTTTGATATCGTTCCATATTCCACTGTTTTTGTTGTTAAAGATGTGGTACGTTATTTTGGAGACAAGTTACAATTCAGTTAAATGTTAGCTTGTAAAGAGGAATGATAAACTCATTTGTTTTCATTTCGTTAATGAAGGTAAGCGGTAACTTACAACTTTAAAATTCGGGGTTCGATTCCCGCGGTGGATACAGCAGAGAGCACAATGTGGTTTTGCTCTACAATAAATAAACAAACGTTAATGAAGGATGTCGCGACGTCTGTTAGAGTTGTATGTCATTATGATGATGAAAATGGCATATATTGTAATGATTATAATGCAAGATCGAATATTGAAATATTGTATTTGTATTAAACTTTGGAAATATTAGGACAGTTTTGTTCTTTAGTCATAGTTTCATGGAAACCAATCGTGAGACTTTTGTATAGAACAGTAGAATTGATGTTGATGCTGTATAACCGTTGTACTGTTATAGTTTTATTGCAAAATTGTACAGTTAACTATTTTTGCTCTGTCTACAACGGAAATCGAACTCTGAATTGTAGTGTTTAAAGTCTGTAAACTTACCGCTGACTCGTGAGGTGTACTTAAAGTATGTTTCTATCTAAGTTGAATTTCTTTTTCTAATATTTCTGTATTGCTATTTATTTAATGTGTTACTTGTAACTGAAAGATGGAGCTACGAACAGAAAAGGAGATATGGTTTCTTTAAAGATAATACTTTTACTATATCATTAACTGTATTACGTCACATGATCTTTGATAGTGGCTACTTAATAATATATATTCGATAAAAGTATAACACTTTTAAAATACATACGAACTATAGATTTGAATGAACTAAAATAAAGACAAGTACCTCTATTAATTAATATAAATTAAATTTTACTCCCCTTGTATATTTGACATTAATGCCCTCTAGGTTTGAGATCAGCCAACTAATTTTTACGTTTGGGTGGTTGATCTCGACAGCAACTTTAACGGGCGAGCGTGTTCGGTGACGTGGATTCGAGCACTCTAACGAAACTTTACTCACCCTCACCTTTTACTGAGTGCTTATACGAATAACATGTCACGTTTCATTGATGGCATTCTTTATTTACACCACTGACATTGAATCTATCCACACTTCACACGATAACTCCTTCCACAAATCTATTGAGCTGACTTTTGTCTACCCCTCCCCTCCCCAAACATAAATACATATAAGCTTTCTTGATGTCTCCACAAAAGACGGACTTCTTCTCACCGGCCTGTACAGGAAAAGTACAGATGATCCACAATATATTCACTATAAAAGTGGCTACGCCGTTAACCCTAAACTAAATATTACATATATATACAAACCTTACGACAAAAGAAAACATTTACTTAACAAAAAATGTATAGAAGTACAAAACAAACGATAATACAGAGAGCCTATAAAACAGAGATAGTGATAAACTCTCAATGACAAACAGACCAAAGGGTGGGTGTTCGGTTGGTGCCATTGTACGCGTTAAGTTTAACACATATACAGAAATAAAATATATTTGAAAGGTGTAAGAATAGCCTCAGATGCCATCCAAATGCACTATTTTTAGTAACAAACAACAATTTTCTCCTAGATGTCCCAGTATGGTCTCATTTCGTTTTTTTAATTATATTTCGTTCGTTTGTAATTAAGCACAAAGCTATACAATGGGCTATCTGTACTCTTCCCACCACGGGTATAGAAACCCGGTTTCTAGCGTTGTAAGTCCGCAGAGATACAACTCTTGAAAGCTACTAACACTTCATATGCACCCAAATGTTAATAAAACAGGAATGTTACTACCTCATCAGTACCCAAATGTTAGTAAAACAGGAATGTTACTACCTCATCGGTACCCAAATGTTAGTAAAACAGGAATGTTACTACCTCATCGGTACCCAAATGTTAGTAAAACAGGAATGTTACTACCTCATCAGTACCCAAATGTTAGTAAAACAGGAATGTTACTACCTCATCAGTACCCAAATGTTAGTAAAACAGGAATGTTACTACCTCATCGGTACCCAAATGTTAGTAAAACAGGAATGTCACTACCTCATCAGTACCCAAATGTCAGTAAAACGGTGATATTACTACTTCCTCAGTATCCAAATGTCAGGCGAGATACTACTACTTCATCAGTACCCAAATGTCAGTAAAACTGGGATGATACTTTTTCATCAGTACCCAAATGTAAGTAAAAGTGATATTACTACTTCCTCAGTACCCAAATATCAGTCAAATGTGGATGCTACTACTTCCTCAGTACCCAAATGTCAGTAAAACGGGGATGATACTTTTTCATCAGTACCCAAATGTCAGTAAAACAGGGATCATACTACTTCCTGAGTACCCAAATATCAGTCAAATGTGGATACTACTACTTCATCGGTACCTAAATGACCATCAAACAGGGATGTTATTACTTCATCAGCACCCAAATGTCAGTATAACGAGTATGCTACTTCTTCAATAGCACCCCAAGTATCATTCAAGAAAAAGGTTTAAAGAGTCAGCTACATTATAACATTGGATTACAGAGTAACAAATATTGTCACTTTAAATGTGTTAATACACCACAATACAATTAACAGGAGCTTTCAAAACTGCCTAATAGAGATTTCTAACAAGAAAAATGTATGATATTATATTGTACTTTCCTGAGCGCTGTTACTGAAGGGAGTTTTAAATTAATAACAAAACTCATCAGGTTGACAATGTTAGAACACCGTTTGTATTAATACTTGGAGACGGCTTGAATGGGTAATGAAGAAAAACCTTAATATAAGTTTAACATAACCACAAATGTACAACGTTTCGACAAAGGTTTTTGTACCTGATGATATACAGCAGATTCCGGAAATGTGTTGCAAGAAATAAATCAAACACAGAAAACAAAGAACTCAAGTGTTAGTAACACTAAATATTAACTCTATGCTACTATTTGGCTCCAATGTGCCTGTACACTAACTGGCTACTTCACACTCCAAAGGGCCAAAGAATTGTATCTTGGACAAAAGAAAGAAGGATTGTATTCTTGCCACCCTGCTAAGTCCTGGTGTGGTATCCCCAAATCCTAAATTACCAATTATGGTGAATGTTTGTTTATGCAAATTGAAGATGACATTAACCCCTTACTCATACGAACTACCACAAATCTCTGTAACCCATCCACAGAAGTATGGACAAACAATTACAACCTTTCTGACATGGTCACGGTTACATGAAATACTGACTCATACGAACAACCACAAATCTCTGTAACCCATCCACAGAAGTATGGACAAACAATTACAACCTTTCTGACATGGTCACGGTGACATGAAATCCTGACTCAAGACGAAGAATAGTGCAAGCCACAAGCAAGTATAACCTTTTTGACATGGTCATGGTGACATGAAATTCTGGCTCAAGACAAAGAACAGTTCAAGCTTATGATTTTTCACATTATGCTCACAAGAATGCCAGATAAATGCAAAATACATTCGCAGAAATATAGAAAAATATCGGAATATAACTAAATAAAGATATATTATCCTGAGTTATAAAAATAGTAAAATACAGTAGTTTCTAACTTATTATACTCTTCTTTATTCCAGCCCCCTAGTGGCGGACGTACAACGCTAAAAACCGAGTTTCGATACCCCTGGCGGGTAGAGCACAAATAGCTCATTGTGTAGCTTTGTGCTTAACTTCAAACAAACAAACAAATCTTTATCCCAAGGCCTACCGACGCCTAAGTCTTAGAAATTAAACAATAAAAGGTCGAATCAAGTAACTAACACAATAATAATTTTCACTTATCACATTCGTTAACCACAAAAAAGACACCATGACAATATTCGTACATAGACAAAGATAAACTTTATTAAAACACAGAGAGATAAGAAAACATCGAAATATTATAATAAAATTGGACGCAAAATGAACTAAAAACATAAAGCAAAACAAAAACTTGTTTTTATTAGAATGAATTGAATTTATCTGAAATGTTAGCGGTGTGAGATTAAAATACAAAGCAGAATGAGATTAGCTGAATATAATGCAAACTTAAATGAAATGAACTCAAGTTGATAAAGCTTAAACATATAACTAAAGCAGATAACTATAGTAATGAATTTACAACTCAAACAAAATAAAACTAAAAATTAAAGTCTAAGATAGATTAAAATTTTTTATCAAATTAAAACTGCAAGTAAAACAAAATAGTTTTGAAATTGCAAGAGTGGAATGAGAAAAAACTAAATTGTATAAACTCGAAATGAGACAAAACTAAATTGTATAAACTCGAAATGAGAAAAAAACTAAATTGTATTTATTTGTAAATTAAGCACAAAGCTACACAATAGGCTATCTGTGCTCTGCCCTCCTCGGGTATCGAAACCCGGATTCTTGTGTTGTGAGTATGTAGACATTCCGCTGTGCCACTGGGGGGCACTAAATTGTATAATCAGTAAACTCGAAATGAGACAATACTAAATTGTATAAAGAGTAAACTCGAAATGAGACAAAACTAAATTGTATTTATTTGTAAATTAAGCACAAAGCTACACAATAGGCTATCTGTGCTCTGCCCTCCACGGGTATCGAAACCCGGATTCTTGTGTTGTGAGTATGCAGACATACCGCTGTGCCACTGGGGGGGCACTAAATTGTATAAACAGTAAACTCGAAATGAGACAATACTAAATTGTATAAACAGTAAACTCAAACTCAACAAAACTATAATAAAATATAAACATAACTTAAATATACTACGAAGTGAATAAACTACAATCATTAAACTGAATCAACTGACTATAAGCTTGGAATTAAAATTAAAACACAACACACAAATGGCTTTTATTCCATGTCAGTGATATCCAAGAGATAGGAATCTTCCCACAATATACCAGTGAACGGGAAGATGGATTGGGGATAGACATAAGGATTATTAACAGAGCGCAGAAAAGTTACCATGTCAATCATACATGGTAGAAATCACTCAAGAAAGAAGGATTACCACATTGAAATGTAACTACCATTACGCCAAATTTCAGACCATATTGCAAATAAAACAGAGACCCAGCTTAACATATATCAAAAGATTACCATACTACCACGGAGCTCTTCATCTGAGACAGTTGTACACCAGTTCACCATAAAGATTTTCAGTAAACAAAACAGCTTAACGTATATCAAAAATTACCATACTACCATGGAACTCTACATCTGGGACAGTTGTGCACTGAACATCTTTATGGTGAACTGGTTTTACAATTGTCTCAGATGAAGAGCTCCGTGGTAGTATGGTAATTTTTGATATATGTTAAGCTGTTTTGGCACTGAACATCTTTATGGTGAACTGGTAAACAAAACAGCTTAACATATATAAAAAATTACCATACTACCACGGAGCTCTACATCTGAGACAATTGTGCACCAGTTCACCATAAAGATGTTCAGTAAACAAAATAAAATCTTTCCATACCTAATACATCACTAAAATATTATATAATTATTGTAATATTTTCCTAATGTTCAATCTGTCTACCTTTTACTTTGAATGATTGCACCTTTTAAACTTAGGTGGGAAGTGTAAATGATCACGACTTACCAATGTGCTGGAATGAACATGCATTCTCCAGGTGTAAGAGTAGCTTGGTGGTAAACAGGAACCTCTCCAAGAGCGGGATATTTCTGGAAGTCAACATTCTCCACATTGACTCCTGATTCTGAGCCATTTTTTCTGTCTAATACTTGGGACTAAAAAATAAAGGTTATTTCACTCATGAATTACCGTAATTCTTTCACATATTTTCACTCATTCACCTCTAATTGTCTCTCTCTCACTAACAATCTCCACTATAAGTACAAAGTGGGTTCGATTCCCCACGGTAGACACAGTAGATAGCCCAATGTGGCTTTGTTCTAAAAACCAAACAAATGCTAAGAATATTTACGATTAGATAAAATAACTAAGATTTTGAGTGAAACTGTAACTGAATTCAACTCAGATGAGATAACACTCTATGTATATTTCTTACTCTCCATTCTTGTAACAGCCATATGAACTAAGTATACCTGTTGGAACTGGGAATGTGTGTGTTATATTAAGTTATTAAGATATTTCAACTGAAGTCGTGTGTTGGGATTATGAACCTTATGTCTGAGTCTTTTCTAATGTCATACCATTTAAAATACAGCTCATTCATGATGTTAGGAAAATATACATGTTAAAAAATATAATAAAAATAAAACTTATAACTCGAGTGCTTTTGAAAGGGAAACAGGGAAAGACTGGGAACGTGATTTTAAATAAACCCATATACTATTATCATGAACACTGTTCTTACACATTGACTGGTCATTTGATTAGAACTATTAATTTCTGGTTGGACCACTTTTTACTACGATAACAGATTAGACTTGGTGTGGCATAGACTCCACAAGATTCTGGAATATGTTTTGTCTTAAAGTATTCCATCCATCCAATGACCTGAAATTAATTCGTTGATTTCGGCTAAGGATTATAGAGGTGTATGTCCATCTCCAAGATTATCAGGTGGATTAAGGATTATAGAGGTGTATGTCCATCTCCAAGATTATCAGGTGGATTAAGATCCGTGATTACCTAACCAAGAATGATGACTGACGTTACTGTTATACGTTTAGAAGTAATACAAGTGCATTGGATTGTTGCATAATCAACCTGAAAGAGCCTTGTCCATTCTGAATGTTATTCACCCTTCTAAGGACTTAAATCTTCACTACTTAAACGTTTCCACATCCGTACATCACTTCAAGTAGGTTGCACTGTAAAAGCAACCAAGTAGCATCATGTGCTTTATATTTTCACGATAAAAAACTTATAAAACATGACTCAACATATCACATGTTTCCAGTGATTCGGTGTCCACAATATGCACCCTAATCGACAGTGATGCCAGGCTTTCCTGTTTTTACATCTGACATAAGGGTTCTTCAGATAAATTGTCAGCTACTATTAAAAAATATTGAAACGTTTCACATATTATAGTTGGAAATATTTGAATGCAATTTATAAACACTGTTCTTTAACTATCAATAACTGCCAATGTCAAGATAGCTCATTGACACTGCTATTCGACTATCAATGACAAGATAGTTCATTAACACTATTTTTCGATTTTATATCAATACCAAGACAGTTTTTTAACACGATACTTAGACTATTAATGACAAAACAGTTTATTAACATTGTTCTTCGACTATCAATGACAAAACAGTTTATTAGCACTGTTCTTCGACTAATTTTTAATACATATTTATTGAAAAATATACATACCCGTTTAGGAAACTCTATAAAATTGATAAGAAGGATCTCAGCTTTACCATCAAACTGACAATGAAGTTGCTCGCGATCCTCAACTCGAAGAGGATGATGCCAAATCCCATGATGATATAGAAAACGCTAAAGTCAAAGAAAAATCAAACTCTAAGCTTATTAGGCACAGTTCCTCATTAAGTTTGTCATCCAAACAGCCATTCTAATGATAAGTAGTCATACAAAAAAATCATAAAAGTTGTTTAGATATTGTCTATAAAAGGATAAGTTAGGCAAAGGTTCACGCTATAGGAGTAATAGCACTGTCTAATAGCCTAAGCTCCCCTTCCTCCACACTAAACACATAAATGACAAATAACAAGTACAACAGTGACACTATGTTGAAAAAATTCGAAACGTGTTTAAAACAAAATCTGTAATTTTCAATGATTAGTTGACGAGTTTTGGTATGTTCTTTAACACCACAGGTGAAGGCTTCTAGCAAATAGTATGATGTTGTGAAGCAAGAATATGAACGGTTTGTTTCAGTTCAGAAATTAGACGCTAAGCTAACAAACGGATGATCAAACAAAGTTGAAATGGACAGTAACTATCTAGTTTAGAATGACACATGAGGAAATGGTCTTGGAGGAATAATCTACGAAAGTAGCTCAGGTTGAAAAAACGCCGTTTGGAAATACTTTCCTCTTTCGTCTTCAGATCATTTTATACCAAATTCAAACTCAAAACACATAAATAAATAAAATAAAATAAATGTGACAGTTATTTAGTTTTAAGAAGAAATTGTTAGATTCCTAAGGAACTAACGAACTTTTTCCCACTCGGGTGCTCGGGGGTATTTTATCCCCCTTCCTCCTGCTCTTGTTGATTAATTTGCCCTCCATGGAGCCTTTAAGTGATTAAGAATAACAACAATAATTGGTTTAGTATTGTAAGCAGTGAGGAGGAGGCACAGCGATCTCCATGGACGGTGTCCCAGTCAAAGTCAGGGAATAGTATCCTAGTTGTTAATGAAAATTATCGACAACGCCCCAACAAACGGCCTCATTTTCAGGGTCACAGAATGTCTAGGGCCATCAAATCCAAATGCCATAGAATTAAGTGTGTCTGTGTGGCGTGAGTACCACGAGAAAACCCACTTTCGATGACCAAGCGCCCAATAATCTACCTGTCCTGTGCCTAAGCTGAAAAATAGCACATGCATATGAGTTACGATAATATGAACCTAGTGATATATTTATGTAGCTATATGTTAATTTGTGTTTGTATGCGATACTTGTTGTAAGAAGATAGTGTTTTATGTAGTACACACGTGTTAGTGTGAAAGGTTAATGTGTTTCTGCTTTCCGATAGTAATTTTGTGCGAGTGAATGTAATCTTCTTTTCTTTATCTTGTGTAAGTAACTGACGGGGTGTATCTAGGAATACTTTGGACTAATCTGAATGGTGTATCTAGGAAGCCTTTGGGCTAATCTGAATGATGTATCTAGGAAGACTTTGGCTAATCTGAATTGTGTATCTAGGAAGACTTTGGCTAATCTGAATGGCGTATCTAGGAAGACTTTGGGCTAATCTGAATGGTGTGTCTAGGAAGACTTTGGACTAATCTGAATGGTGTATCTAGGAAGACTTTGGACTAATCTAAATGGTGTATCTAGGAAGACTTTGGGCTAATCTGAATGGTGTATCTAGGAAGACTTTGGGCTAATCTGATTGGTGTATCTAGAAAGACTTTGGGCTAATCTGAATGGTATATCTAGGAAGTCCATTCAGATTAGCCCAAAGTCTTCCTAGATACACCATTCAGATTAGCCCAAAGTCTTCCTAGATACTCCATTCAGATTAGCCCAAAGTCTTCCTAGGTACACCATTTAGATTAGCCCAAAGTGTATCTAGGAATATTCTATTCTGTTGTAATTGCAATTTACTAAGGATGTTTTCATACATGTTATAAGTGTCCTGACCGCCGTATTCGATAACTGGTCGTACATATGTTTTATAAATTTTTAAAATGGTGTTTGTGTTGCACCCTTTGTTTCGACCAGCAACACCTCTTAAATAATTCGTGCGTTTACAATTTTTTTCTCTCTAATATTCTGTGTGTTCTGCCCTTGTAAGTCTTATGTCAAATGTAACACCAGGAAATTTGGCACTGGAATATAGTTTTATTTCCACATTACTCAGTTTAAGTTTTACTTTTTTCAAATTTTTATTTAAACTTCTGCGGAATATAATTCCTTGAGTTTTAACTGGGTTAACCCACCAATCAGTAAATATATTGAATGGATTCTAAACGCCATCCGCTACTATTAGCGGATGTCTTAATACACTCCAAACAGCAATCTCATCTGCATATTGAGAACAATATGTATAAGTTATATCGGGTTATAGTATGTTGTTTACAATAAAATGTACAGGAGTGGCGAAAGGAAAGAGCTTTGCGGAACTCCTACTGTGACGTTATAGGTCTTTGAAAGTGTGTTATTTACTTTTACAATAGCCGTGCGGTCAGTTAGGACACTAGAAATCCACCTGGTTCTTGTAATATTTATATATTCATGGAGTTAAGCCTATATCTAATGGCATTATACCAAACCCTGTCAAATGTCTTTCGGACATCTAGAAAAACTTCAATAGTGGCTTGATTATTATTGAATGCTTTGAAAAAAGGTTCTGTAAGACGTGTTAAGTGATCTATTGTTTGTCTTTTTTTTTCATAGAAAGAGTGTTGTATATTTGGAAGAAGGTTATTTTTTCACAGAAATAAATGAGTCTTTATGCTACTATTTTTTTTCAACTAGTTTAACCAGACAACTAAGTAGACTGATTGGTCTCAAGTTATCCGGGTTTGAGCTTTTGGCAAACATTTTTGGGATAACTGTAATAAATGCTTTTTCCAGATATCCTGTAAGCATCTTTTTATTAGTTCATAAGTTTTGTTAGGTACGTGGGTAGTTTGTCAGAGGCTTATCGTGTTCGGGAGAAGAATTCTTTAACGATTTTATGTTAAGGATTTTCGTGTCCGGGGGAAGAATTCTTTAACGATTTTATGTTAAGGATTTTCGTGTCCGGGAGAAAAATTCTTTAACGTTTTTATGTTAAGGCTTTTCGTGTCCGGGAGAAGAATTCTTTAGCGTTTTTATGTTAAGGCTTTTCGTGTCCGGGAGAAGAATTCTTTAGCGTTTTTATGTTAAGGCTTTTCGTGTCCGGGAGAAGAATTATTTAACGTTTT